GCCCCTTGCCATCAAGCTAACCGTGGCAGGTTTTCCTCTCCATGTAACGCAAATGCGCGTTAGTTCCATCAAAAAGTCGTCCACGAAGGCTTGATCCAGGAGTTCCATTGTCTTCTTGATTGGCCTGTGTAGCTATGAACCCAAAATTGGGTCGGCAGTTCAACGACGTTTATAAAATAAAATACCTCTGAGGGAACAGAATTGGAAATCGATCGTTCTCTGGTTCAGGTCGAAATTACGATTAATAAGTGGAGTATGATTTGGTCCTCCCTGTAAAACGGGCTGTGATGTGTGTAGTCGTATTCTTGGTCACATGTTGTCACTGAAAAGACGAGAAACGCACCCTCTGCCTTAAAAATTCGCTTGATTTCAAGCAGGCTTACTGATTTGTAAGTGGAAATAGAATCAACAACACAAGCTAGATGGGAGGGGGCACTCCTGTTAATCTGAGGAGGAAAAAAAAAATCGAATGCGAAGTCAGTCTTCATTGAAAAGGTTCAAAATTTAGTTTTCAGAAAAAGGCTAAAAAATAATGTAAAACTGATAGTAACTATCGATGCCTTTCAACTTAGTTTTATAATCAGTAAAATTTTTTCAATTGTATCATAATTTTATAAATTTAATCTATTTAATTTGACTACTCTTATTGTCACAGATCTGATCAATACGTTTAAACAAGAAAAATTTAGTTTAGAAAAAAAAAATAGTATGCAACCTGACATCGTTTTGAGATTTCCTATAGATTAGAAATGACACGTGATCATATTTCTTCTCTTTTTTAAATTTAAAACCTACATAGTGTTTCGTCCCAGCTTTTTTAAAATGTTGGTATTGCTTTCACCAAAAAATTTAAAAGCAATTAAAATCAAAACTTGAAAAGTAATCAGTACGAGGGAAATTTCAAAAAGATATCAAGACACAGAATTTTTTCGAAGTAAGACTGCAAGAGAGCTTCTGTATCAAGCGTTGGAGCTAATTCAAGATCGCGTAAAACCTTTTGAGTGAAACTGCATTTGTTTTATATGGACAGAAGAACTGCGAAAAGCTTCAACGTTTCGTCTGATGGCAAAGGAACTCAGTGGTTCCCGAATGGTGTTCCGTGGAACCCAAGGGTTTCGCGAGCTAGTACTTTTCATAACCAATGATGAGTTTTGAAACCTCTTATCATAGTATTTAGAAACCGTGATGGTTCAGTAGATAGAGCATTCGCCTTCTAATAAGGTGACACGGGTTCGAATCCCAATGATGACTAGTCGATTTGAATTCCTCATCCGGCTTGCACTGACCACAGCCACAGTGTTAACGTAAAATATCCTGGATTAGAATGTTCTTGCCATCAGAATAACCAAAGGAGGTTTNTTCGCTTTCTAATAAGGTGACACGGGTTCGAATCCCAATGATGACTAGTCGATTTGAATTCCTCATCCGGCTTGCACTGACCACAGCCACAGTGTTAACGTAAAATATCCTCAGTGGTAGATGGATCATGGATTAGAGTGTCCTTGCCATCAGAATTACCAAAGGAGGTTTTCCTCTCCATATAAAGCAAAAACGAGTTAGTTCCATAAAAAAAGTCCTCCACGAAGGCTAATTTCTCTGAATACTTGATTCAGGAGTTCCCTTGTTTTTAGATTGGGTTCAAAATTACAAGCTTACGGAATTGAACATTAGTAGTCGTAAACCCCGAAGAATTGGGTGGGCTGTTCAAAGCAATTAAAATAAAATAACATTGCACTTAGATCCAACCTATAATTTATAACTTATTTAATCTTTCGATTGCTTTCATGAATTTACTTCAAGTAAATTACCAATGATATAGAAATGGCATGTTTGAAAAGAAAATGTACTTCCAATAAAAATGTATTGAACTAATTATGAAAAGAACAAGCGTTTATAAAATATTGCATAAGCATTTCCCTATCCAGCTTTCCAAATCAAAATAACTAAATTATTTAATAAAGAAAGACATTTTCCCAATAATCATTTAAACGCTTATAGCAGTTCTTTTAAGTTTTCATTTCGAAGTAATCACAATTCTGCTTTCTATTATTCATTTTCAGCTTATGTAGATACACCAAAAACAAATTCAAAACTAGACTAGATATAGCATAAGTATTACAAATTTAACTGGTGGACCTATAATTTAATTTAAGATTATTAATGATAAGACTAAAAATCTTTATTTCCCTAATTAAATACTCAAAAAAATAGTCTTCTATAGGTTATAACGTTCACAATTACTTCAATAAACTATATTTATAAGGTTGGGATTTCGTCGCAAGAAAGTTGATTATGTAGGCTTCCGTAGCTGTAAAAAAATTGGGAAATGCTGTTCTAATCCATGAGAATTCTAAACTGAGAATATTTTTTGTCAACACTGTAGCAGTATTCAAAATAAACAGTCATAGCCAGTAGTTGAACCTGGGTCACCTCAATAAACAATCATCATTTTAAATAAATTATGCAGTAGGGAACAGATTATCCGGAACGGTCGGGACCATTTGATTTAATCGGATAACTGATTTTTCCGGTTTTCTAAATCGCTACAAAAAACCGTTTTTTTTATTGTTAAACCAAACTAAAAAAAAAAAATTTGGAAATAATCTTAAAAATAAGAAAAAACGATGAAGTAATACACTAATGATTATTTCCAAAATGGTGATAAGGTAAACATCTTTAAAAAAAGAAAGAAAAATCATAAAATCTTATGAGGAAATTTTTTTTCTTTTTTAAAAAATGGCGAGAAAATTGATCGAATTTCATTCCGGTTTTCTGATTTCCGGATAACGGGTTCTGTACTGTACAATGTATAATAATAATATGTACTTCTAAAGCATTTCTAAAAGTGCCCATTCAGAGAAGGTAAATTAATGGGAAAATACAGATTTAGTTATGCTTTGTGGATGGCTCAAATTAGAATCATTTGTGGGTAAATTGCTTATCATTTAAAATTTTCAAATAAATACTAAAATATCTTTTCATTAAATTTTTAGTTTCATTCACTGAGTAATTCAAAGAAAGACAAAAGGTTCATGAATTAACATATGTGTACTTATATATGTTTAATTTTGGTCATCTAGGATAATAATGTATTTTTGTAAAATACTATTTAGAAATGTATAAAAATAGTTTTTAAAAAACAAAGTATAAATAGAAATTAAAATCGTTGATACAAAATAGAAGAAGAAACTTTTCATAATTATTATTTTTTTTAAATAACTCTTCAAAGCATGCATTATAATGTACTGATATTTAGATAAACTTATTAGGTTTGATGCCATCGATCTATCAACTAGGATAATAAAGTATTTTTGTAAAATACTATTTACAAACACATTCAAATAAATTTAAAAAACAAAACAAAATATAACTAGAAAGTAAAAACGTTGATAAAAAATCGGAAGAATAAAGTTTACATAATTATTACTTATTAAATAACTAAAGAGTGTATTATAGTCAACTGATATTTAGATAAACTTAATTTATATAAACTTATTAGATAAAAATTCAACTAGCAAATGGGCAGGGTTCACCGACTTGAATCAGCTTGAATTTAATTGTAATTCACATGAATTTTTTTTCTTAGGAAAAAAAAAAATCTATCAGAACTGCTCTTGAATTTCTTTTTTTTATTTTATATATTTTTTAAGCTACAAAACATTAATAATGCAATTTTATGAATATGATCAGAATTACATAGATGATTAAAATATATTTATTAATAGATCTGTATAAAATCCATTCTTTAAATACTACATACGTGAAATTGGTAAGAAATATGCAAAAATATATTATTAAAATAAATTGGATTTTTGTCACATTTGATTTCAACCACAGTAATTTGTTATAATAGTATTTCTATTCGCCTTGATTTTATTGCAATATGTGTGATAACATAGCTGCCACCTATGCTGATTTTTTCTCAAAAATAAAATTAGAAAAACATCGAATGAAATTCTAACTAAATTTTTTATGCAATGGTATCATATAATATGTAAAGTTATGCAAACATAGTAATTCTATACCATACGTACTTCAGTATGATTTTCAATATTGTATAACTTTTAAAATAATATCTAGAAGAATATTTATATCATTGGCTGATTTTATAGTTGCAGTAAGACTGCCCAAGATAATTTCTTCATTTCATGAAAACCACAAATATAGATTTAAAAGAAAATTTAAAGAAAGAAAAATTTTAGTATAAAATTATATTTTGTTAGCGTAACTATGAATCATTTAATATATATTTATACAGTGTTCTCCCTAAGCATTTTTTGAAGGTTGGCTCACCCTTTTGCTCTTTGATCCCAATAAATGCACCTTCTTTTCAAAGTAGAGTTGCACACGAGAGTGCAAGAATCTCACCGAAACTCCTAAGTATTTCATCAAAAATGTAACATGATTGGCACTATCATATGTTGTGACAGACAGCAAGTCGAAATGGATAGTGGTTACATGAATTGTGAAAACGCTAAATAGAACAATGTGAAAACCACGCTTTTACGTAATACGAAGCGAAAATTGACATGGTAAAGAAAAACAGCCCGATTTTCGAAAAGGAAAATGAAGCTTTTTTTAAAAAAACACCTCATGAAAAAAGCACCTTTAACGACTTTTAAAAAACTAAATAAGCTCTTTTTAAAAACGCCACACAATGTTATTGTATTAAAAAAAATATAGTTATCTCCATGACAATTGAGATATTTTCTTACACGATATATAAGCATTGTTATCATTAATGATCATAATATTGCCAAATTTGATATATTAACACATTGTATGAATGTAATTAGAATCTGGTATTGTTTCTATGTGTTAACAAATTTGGATTCACGGTCCCGACAATCAACGAGTACAAAAATACGTTGGTTCTGTTGCTTTGGTTATCTTGAATCTTAACAAATGAAAGAAACATTTCAATGAAAATATTACTTCTGTATAACATTAGAAATAAAGCTAAGGTCATATTTTCAATCAACATTAATTGTGAGAATTTGTATATTTAAAATAAATTTTATTAAAAAAAACATTACGTAACAAATTATACTGAATTACACACTAGACAGTAGCCAACAATATATAAATTTATAATTAATACAAAATATGAAATAAAGAATTACAAATTCAACGGATTCCAACATTAAAAGCTCATTTATGTTTAACATTTGATCCATAAAATTTATTATAACTACCCATCATTCTTTTGAACTATTAATTGCAGCTGAAATATTATGCACACTGTCAATAAAAACAGCAACATTATCAGGATCCATTTCAGGATAGATACCATGGCCCAAATTTGCAATATAACGCTGAGTGCCAAAGCCTTTAATCATTTTAGAAACCATATCTTCAATAGAAGAAGGTTCCGCCTTCAAGGCACATGGATCTAAGTTACCCTGAAGAGTGATATTTTCAGAAATTTTGCTTCTAGCAACATCTGGAGAAATAGTCCAATCTAAACTGATCACTTCATACCCAGTATCATTTAAAAAAGGTAAAACACTACAAGTGCCTTTAGCAAACAATGTCATAGGAACTTTATTAAGGCCTTGTTGAATGATACCTTCTGTCACTCTCTTCTTTATATCTTTTATGTAAGGCAATGCAAAAGTTTTAAACTGCTCTGGACCAAGATGCTCTGCACTTGATTCAAACACTTGCAAAAGTTGAGCTCCAGCTTTCACTTGGCCTATTAAGTAATTAACAATGACATCTGTGAGCATTTCAAGAATTGAATGGCTACCTTTGGGCCACTTGTATAGCCATCCTTTAGCTTTGGACATAGTTTTCGAACCTTGGCCTTCGACCATATAGCAGAAAAGTGTCCAAGGAGCACCGGAGAAACCTATTAAGGGAACTTTACCATTCAATTCTTTGCGGGTAAGTGTTATGGCTTCGAAAACGTAGCCAAGTTCTTTTTCGACCTCACAGGGAAAGCATAGGGCATGTAAATCTAGGGGGTCATGCAAGGGGTCTGAAATGACGGGCCCGATTCCTGGTACCATCTCAACATTCATCCCTAATGCTTGTGGAATTACAAGTATGTCAGAAAATATAATGGCAGCATCGAGTGGAAAACGTTTTATAGGCTGTAGAGTAATTTCACAAGCTAAAGAAGGAGTCTGGCATATTTCGAAAAAAGGGTGTTTCTTACGAACTTCTTGAAATTCAGGTAGATATCTACCAGCCTGCCGCATAATCCAGACAGGTACCCGTTCTGTTTTTTGACCCCACGCTGCTCGTAGGATAAGATCGTTCTGTAGGGGAGGGAACTTTTTATCATCTTCCATTTTTTGAAAACTTTTAGACGTTAAACTTGCTGAATACTATCAATATTCCACGTAATATTGCACAAATTAAAAGTACTTTTGTTTTGAGAGGTTTGATTTGTAACTTCAGTTCAGTTCTTTGTATATTATGAAACGAGGAAGCCGAGAGAGCATAGATACTTTTTGGATAAATCATCACAGACCGTTCTCTCTGAAAGCAATTTTTTCACATGCAGAAAATCGCCGCCAGTGACAATGATCTTTTACGGATTTTTTTACTACACTTGCGAAAATGTTACGTATGTCAATGAAAATTTGATTAGTGAAATATATTTTCCAACGAAATTTCATTGCATTCAAGTCGTTAAAGGTACTCCCCCAAAATATTGCTCACGCACTTGCAATCGCTGTCGAGGAAGAACGAAAACCAATCATATTCTTTTTCTTCAATTTCCTTAGCGGCGATCAAAAGTGCGTGAACCGCATTTAGTAAAATTGGCCCTCTAGAAATAGACAATTTTGGAATAATTTTAACTGAACACTTGTCTACGATTTTGCTGTAGCTGGTTTGCAAAAGCCGTAGCTTTCAACGTTTGAAGTTCATGTGTACTGTACCGGTTATGCCATACATGCCCTATAATTTCAACAGGTACAGTAAACCAAACAATAAAAAAAAGCATAATGCTGGTTATCTTTTGTTTTATTGATCGCATTTACGCGAAGTAAATGACATCTTAATGGTTTAAAGAATTAACATTAATGATTCAAATTTTCACTAGTAATTAATTTCTATTAATTATTCAGTATTTTTAATATTTTATTAAAAAAAAAAATAGCGAAATTTTTTTTGGGTTGTAAGATATGCAGGATAATTCTGAACTTTTCATTAATAGTTAGTGGGGTGAATTCAGAATTGTAAAGAAGCTCATGGCAGGATATGGCATATAACCGGACCAAGATCACTTTCCCATTATGAGCTGCTTATATATATTTTTTTATCTAAATCGTTTTGCTATGTTTCAAGTAGTTATTGTAAAACATTACATTCAAATAGGCCCCTATATAAACTTAATTTAATGTTTCAACGATTAGATTGGTAGTTGAATAATTAAAAATATAAATAGCAATTTCTGGACTTATTTGAATGCAATTTTAGACAATAATTATTAAAAAATGTAAACTTAAAAATTAGATGATTGAGACAAATAAAAATACAGTTTCAATTGCGCATAAATAGGCAGCAGGTGATATTACGCTATGAGTTTCGTCCTTATGAGATGCTTTACCTCCACATCAAATATTGATGATGAATTAAGAATTTCCATGTTCGAATTTTTATATAGCTTATAAAGATGTAATTTTAAATGATAACGAAAATATTTTAACAGGATTGGTCAAATAGTCTTGAGTAATAAAACTTTAACAATACTTTTTTTAGTTTACATAAATATATATATTTAAAAAAAATTGTATTTTAGAAAGTGCTTAAGTCATAAATTTTTTAATAATACATTAATTTCAAAATTTGAATAATCTATAATTCAAAATGATTTCGACCATTATTTGATAAAGTAATAAAAAATAACAAGAAATTACTAAAAATAATTTGTTTCCAGAGATATATCTTTCGATAAAGAGTTTTATGCCTGTGTGCTTAAAAAAATTTGCTTGAAAAATAAGACTCAAAATATGACAAATGCTGGCAAAAAATTGAAATTGGCATCAAGAGATCTTTACTTTCAACTACTCCTTTGACTAAACTAGCGTGCAAGACAACTCAAAATGTGTATTGTAAAAAAAGAAAAAAAAAATACATGCTCTTAAATTGCATGTTTAAGAAAATAGTAACTGCTCAAAAATTGAACTTATTTAATGCCCGCTCAAAATGTTTGTTTAAGAAAATGAACATACTATTCGTTTTAATTTTAAGCCTTCTCTTATGAAAATTATTTCTAATTTGAAGAACAACAAATAATTTCATATTGTGATGTCGTCCATTTGTCTAAATCACTTAGTACATTTTTTTAATTAGTCTTTTTTTATAGCGATATTAAAAGTCAACAATTATTTAGCAAGGTTGTCACTGATCCTAAAAATAGCGGTATTAAATTGATGTTGATTGATTCTAATTTTTTTAAAACCACTTTATCGTTTAGTGTTCTGAATTCGAAGAGATGAATGAAAAGTTCCATCTATAACCAAAGATATACATTCTTCTATGCACGCATTTTGGCTTTAAAGCTGTGTCTATTTTCTTAAACACTTATTTTCGACCTGTGTCCATTTTCTTTCAGGCACACTTCAAGTTTTGTCCTGAAAAAGAAGCTTACGAACGAAATACTTAAAGAAAGGAGCTTGACCGTAATTTGATCATTGAAAATAAAGCTTGATCAGGAAAAATATTTTTGATTATAGATTATATACAATTTTTTTAATAACAATTAAAATTTCATTTTCATTATTAAAACTTGCAAACCTTGCTTTTGTTTTTGTTTTTGTTCATATGATTAAAATGAAGGGGAAAAAAAATTCTCATCATGTGTAGGAGGTTATTAGACACAAACATCTCCACCGCTGTTTCAGAAACTTTTCGCCAAGCGTGCTAATTAAAGTGATAGTTTGAAAACTATTTGAAAAAGCGATATGAAATTTGGGAAATTTCTGGGAAAAATGCTATTGAAACGGTCATTAGTTTATTTTAGGCTTCATAATTCAGTTTAGAAGGGTGATTATAATTTTGTCAGCAACGTACTCAAAGGTTCAAAAATGTGTAACGCTTCTAATTTTTTATTAGAATTCGAATTAGTTTTGGAGTATCAGATAGTTCATATTGATGATTTTTCGATGTGAAGGAAAAACTGGCGATCTCTTGCAGCGACAATCTCTTGTGGCTAAAGATCAATAAATATTCAACCGTTTTTGATATTTCGAATTAGTTTGGGCGTTTAATTTTAATATTTCGATGATAATCCAAATTTTTTTTTTCTTCTAAAATTTGTATTTCTTTCCGTCTATTGGATAAAGTCAAATACTCTTTTGTCTGGCTGGTAGGCAGTTGGACTCGTGTTTGTTAGAACGGAAGTTCGTATCCATCCGGCCAAAGAATTAAACTGGTGACTGGTGCACGCTAAATCTGTCTGGGTCACAAAGTCTTCCAAGTTCCCGTAACAAATCAATACCTCTGGGGGTACTGATCCAGGAGCTTCCTTACCTTCTGGATTGGGATCAAAATTACAAGGATACGAAGTAGAACATTGGCAATCGTATTTACTCAGAATTGGGTCGCCTGTTCAACGACGGTTATAAAATAAAATAAAATATCCTCTTTTCAATTAAAAAAAAGTGCTGGATTATTTTTATTAGGAGACTCTCGATGTTAATTTTTGCATAAACAAATATCAAGAGTTCTTCGCTTTTATTTTTCTCTAGTTTATGCTATGTAATATTCTCAAATAATAGTTTGACGTCTGTGTGTGATGTCAAATTATTATTTCAGTCTTATAACATAGTTAATCAGTCCCAAGGAATTATTTTTCAATTCTGAATTTTTTAACGCATGTACAGGGCGCAAAAAGTTCTCGAGATTGGAGAAATACGTAAAAAAAATAATAACAAGTAAATTAAATTAAATAAAAAGAATAAATTAATCTAACAATAATAGGTGGTCCAAACTTTCCCTCATGACCAAGCTATAGGGCTCATATTTTCAGCTACTCTCTATATTTTGGGGGTCAAAAATCCGAAACTGTCGAAAATAAGGTATATTTATTCAAAGAAAATACGTTTCTGCTTCTGATTCTTTAACTGAAAATATCGTATGCACTAATTAATTGGCATATTTGAGATCACTCCCTTGAACCATTAAGATTGAATTCTAGTAAGTCAAACCGTACGAATCACAAAATGGAATCCGATAAAATCCGATCATTAGATCAAAAGTTATTTTTAGGGTGCTTGATTTTTTTTATCACTACATTACTTTACAGCCAGCAGCTCTGAGCGATGGCGACATCTTAGTTTGTTTAAATAAACTAATTTATTTTGGCACAATTAAATTGGGTTTTCTAACTAATGAATAATTGTCTGCCGTTTTATCGGTAGAAGGTTCCATAACGGGATGGATAGGTAAAAAGAGCGAGCAAAGCGATCTAAAAAGAACTGGGCAAGCAGTTTTGATGATTGGCAAGCGATAAGGTGCAGAAAGCGTAGTTTAACAGAATTGAAATTAACTACGAAATATATTAAGGTAGACAATCTGGCTTATCAAAGAAGATTAAGGCGAAAAGAGGGACTGAAGCTATTTGAAAGGAATTGCGTCATCAGTTTCGGGGACCAGAAGAGCGCACTTACTAAAAGAAAAAAAAAACGAACTAATTTTAACAACAAAAGCAAAATTATGGTCTTAAGTAATTCATTTTCCAAGCAGAAAGAAATCGAATCGCAGAAAGAAAACACTTAAAAACATGCATATTGTAATGTCTATAGGGCAACGCAAATTGCTCTTACTTGAAATGTGTGAATTTTCCCATTTTGTGCACGCACTTTGTTATTTCAATGTATTTTATTTGCGTGTTAATATTACATGTCTAAGTAAGGCAAATAATTTCAACTTTTCACTTTTTCTCCTAAAAAAGTTCGGCCCACTCTGTGATTGACAGTGCTTAATTTTCCAACCGTAAGGAATCGAATATGACATGCGTGATCCGCTTAGCATAGTTACATTTATTTTCGAAACACATTCCTTTTTTCATTATTACCTCATTTTGTTGTCGGCTGTTGTTGTCTCATAAACGATTGATTTTTTAAATACTTTCTGATATACTAAAGCAGGGTAATTTTGTGCCTGCACCCGGTTACAATACGAATTCTTTGGTACATTTTGAAAATTAGAAAAGTATCGAAACTCTAAAATCAAATTGAAATTGACCTTAATGAAATTTTACTCTCTTGGGGTCAGACAAATGCTGATAAAATCTTGAAGTTTGATCAGGTGTTCTAAATACCATTGATTGTTAATGTTTGGATGTTAATACACCTATTGAGATATGCATTAGTCCCTGTTGTATGGTAGTCTTTATTTTTAACATTTGATCCTTGTTTGTAACATATACATAGTTAAATGTATAATGTGCGTCAAATTTTCAG